TTTTGAAATTTTTTTTTGTGAAGAAATTTTTCATAAAACTTAGTATCTGTCACAAGATGACACAAAATACATTTTATAGCATTTGAATTGGTATGGCTTTCATATTGGAATATAAAGTGTATTTGCAAAATATTGAAACAGTTGAGACATTAACTGTGCACCGAAATCTCAATGAATTATGGAAGCCAAAGAAACTACTTTGCCTTTATTCCTTCCACTTTTAGTGGCACCCTATTGAGATCTTCTAAAACATTCTATCTAAATGAAGCCGACGAGAACTAGAAGTGTCAAAAACGCCTTTAAAATACATCTTTATCATGAAGTCCTTTAAAAAGTCATATTTTTCTAGAACAGAAGTTCTTTGTCTAAAAAAAAACTTTGGGAGTTTTCTGGCTATACAAAACATACAGGGTGATGTGAAAAAACCACAACAAATTCAAACGCCATAATTTTTACATTTTTTTTTTCTAAATTTTATTGAATTAAAGCAAAAAAAAGTCGGAAATAGCATCAAATTTTAGAATAAGTTTAGATTTGTTCGAATTGGTCACCTTGAAAAGCCCAATGAAACCGTCACACGCTGCCCGAATGTTGCTCTGCGGTATTTTGGACCATTTCCGGCGAAGCGCTTGCTTGAGGCGATCGACACTTTGGTATTTTTTAGTGCCAACCTTGCTTTCCAACATACTGCAGATACAATAGTCCAACGGATTGGCGTCCGGAAATTTTGATGGCCATTGTGCGCTGGAAATGAAGCGAGGAACCTCATTTTGTAACCATTCTTGGATGGCGCGTGCTGAGTGCGATGGTGCTGAGTCCTGTTAGAATGTCCAAGGTCTACGTCCAAAATGTTTGCGTGCCCAAGACTTTAATACCCCCTCCAGAATATTTTCACGATAATATTCGGCATTTATTCTGATGCCACGGTCGATTAATACGAGCGAAGAGCGACCATCGGCTGTTATGGCGGCCCACACCATCACTATGGGCGGCGCTTGAGTTCTGGTGGCCAGCCGAAGGTGCACATTTTCAGCTGACCTCTTTGGCAAGTAAACACGATCATTTTATACCCTACACCACAAGGTGGTCAGGGTATTATGTCTTTGCGCATTTGTTTGTAACAGGCAAAAGGAAACAAGATAGACCCATAGTTCCTTTTGATGACCTGCATAGAATCACATTCTGAGTCGATTTATGCATGTCCGTCTGTCCGTCTGTCCATTTATTTTTGTCGAAATCGGTTCAGATATAGCTATAGCTCCCATATATATTTTTCATCCGATTTGCTATTTTTGTCGTTCGCAGCCGTAATATGCACTTTGTAACAACAATATTTGGGGAAATATATCAAATACAGCTCAGAAATACATTTGCTAAATTTTATCGAGATCGGTTCAGATTTGGATATAGCTCCCATATATAACTTCGTCCGATTTACCTTTTATTGTGCACCAAACGTCTAATATTTGTTCAAATGGGATGGAATTTGGCACTTACGACGGAATTGAATCTAGAAGCTAATATGTCAAATTTGGTGAAGATCGGTTCAGATATAGCTATAGCTTCCATATATATTATTCATCCGATTTGTTATATTTGTTACCCACAACCGTAATATGCACTCCGTAACAACGATATTCAGGGAAATACATCAAATACAGCTCAGAAATATCTTTGCCAAATTTTATCGAGATCGGTTCAGATTTGGATATAGCTCCCATATATATCTTTATCCGATTTCAAATTAATTGTGCACCAAATGGGCAATACAATTCCGAATTTAAAAGATACAAATGCTTCGGCATATTTAGTCCTTTGAACTTTAAATTATATTTATAATCATAGCGTGTATGATTGAATTCTCCCATAAAAACTTTTAATTGTTATGTGGAGCTCTACTAAATTAGCAAAGTAGTGTAGGGTATCATAAAGTCGGCCCAGCCCGACTTTAAGACTTTCTTTACTGGTTTCTTTCTGTTGCGGTGTCAGTTCTTGCACTTTTTTAATTTCAATGGCTTTACCCCGAGCTCATTTTTCAATATTTTCCGAATGGAATATTGCGATATGTTCAGCTCACGAGCCATTTTTGACCCACTGCGACGCGGGTTTCGATCAAGTCGATTCTTTACTTTACGAACTATTTCTGCTGATGTTGCTATTTTCTTCCGTCCTGTTCCGTACCGACACGGTAACGAGCGATGGTGTAAGACACACAAATAATTTATTAACATTTAAATGCTGGGGTGTTCTAACGATAGCCACTTGTGTTTTTCCAGCCAAATATAAAGAAATCACACTATCACGCTTGAATTCCATCACGAATAAGTTTTTTTTTCTGGAAAATTTTCACCTCAATGCTATTGCACGCTTGTAAATAATATAATGAGCTGTCACGAGAGGCTTAGTAATGACAGCAGTCTGAAGTTGGTTGCAGTTTTTCATCACATCCTGTATGTGGGACCTATACCTATATCTTAACCGATTTTCACCAAATTTAATACACTTCTTCCAGGTTCGTCCTTGGGTCAAACAAATGAGTTGTGCAAAATATCATTTAGATGTAATATCAGCCCAAATTGAATAGTTTTTTTTTCATATTCAACCGAATTTTTCCACTTGACGAAACTCGGTCCGGTGTATCTATTGTTCCAATAAATATTTTTAATCAAATTTTTTGAAAATCGATTCAGAGTCAACTCTGAGTTCCCAAATTGTGACTACTCTAAAGCCATGATACGCATTCAAATGTAGAAGTAGATCATACCAACTATGAACATTAGTTGGTATGATCTACTTCTCATAAATTCCAAAACATAATTTTTTTTTGTAACGGGAGCTCTACTTAATACGCATAGTGGTGTGGGGAAACATATAGTCGGTCCCGCCCGACTTTTCACCTTTCCTTATGGTTTTCACATATTCTTATCCATTTGATTCGAACTCCTTAGGATTTCCGTAAAATTACCTCAAAATTCTAAAAAAAAAAAAAAAAAAACAAAAAAAAATCGAATGCTCGAAACAAAATTAGCACAATTTGCAATATGTTACAATTACGATATTTCAAGGTTATTGGCAATTTCATGTACATACATATGTCTATTTATAAACTAAAATATAAATAAAGTGGCAGTGTAGACTGATTACTTAAGTCGACGACGAACACAGCTGTCCGCCTAGCCTAGCTGCTGTAATGAACTTGAATTGAGAGAAATTATTCGTATCTGTAATAATTACAATTTGCAATGTTGAAAAAGTACAACAGTTAGACAAGTAAGTCACATTCAGTGGATTTTGTTGTTGTTATCATTAGCGTTGTTGTTGCATTTTTTTGTTAAATATTCTCTTAAATACTTTCATTGTAAATGGATAAATTATTGCGTTGCGCGTTGTCTCATCAACGTTGTTGAATTGAAAAAATGCATTTTGTTTGGAACATTTGTAAATTGACTTGAAAACGGTCTAGCCTGTTGCTGTTGTTGTTCAGTAATTAGTTCTACAAATGACATTTTTATGTACTTCTAATTGACAAATATTTAAATGCTGAAATGAATTTGTTTGCCAGCAATTGTCTAAGTGACTGGCGGCCAGTCTCGAGATATTATGAAGTGATGTGGGCTATTTTTAGTCACAATGTGGTTAAAGTACAGGGTGAGATAAAAACCTGCGACAAAGTCAAACGCCATAATTTTTACATTTTTTTTTCAATTTTAGAATAAGTTTAGATTTGTTCGAATTGGTCACCTTTGGCACGAATTATGGCCTTCAAACGGCCAATGAAACCGTCACACGCGAAGTGCTTGGTTGAGGTGATCGACTTTTTGGTATTTTTTAGTGCCAACCTTGCTTTTTGAAAATACTCCAGACACAATAGTCCAACGGATTGGTATGCGGAGATTTTGGTGGCCATTGTGCGCTGGAAATGAAACGAGAAACCTCATTTTGTAACCATTCTTGAGAGGCACGTGCTGAGTGCGATGGTGCTAAGTCCTGTTGGAATTTCCAAGGTCTGCGGGCAAAATGTTTACGTGCCCAAGGCTTGTATTAAAGCTTTCCAGAATATTTTCGCCTTAATATTCGGCATTTATTCTGATGCCACGGTCGATTATTGAGAGCGGAGAGCGACCATCGGCTTTTATGGCGGCCCACATCATCACCATGGCCGAAGCTTATTTACTTTTCGAACCATTTCTGCTGATGTTGCTATTTTCTTCTGTCCACTACCTTGACGTCGGGCTATGCTACCAGTATCATGGTACGAGACACAAAAGATTTATTCACATTTCAAAGCTGGAGTGCTTTAACGATAGCCACTTGTGGTTTTCCAGCCAAATATAAAGAAATCACACTATCACGCTTGAATTACATTACGAATAATTTTTATTCTGGAAAATTCTCACCAAAATGCTTTTGTACGCTTGTAATCAATATAATGAGCTGTTACTGGAATAATTTTAACAGCTGTCGGATGAGTGGCATAGAAATGACAGCAGTCTGAATTTGGTTGCAGTTTTTTCATCTCACCCTGTATGGAAAAAGAACGACAAAGGCAGTTTTGTTTAAACAAATTATTTTAAAGCCACATCAGTTAAATTTGTCAAAACTTCAAAATATGGCGGGCCATGGCCTGCAGACTTTCAAATGTGTTCTACAAATAGAATTTTATTGGGACTTCATAAAAATGTACATAAAATTCATGGGGATTTTTAAAATATCCCTCCGATTTTTATATATTTTTGCCTTTCAAATGCCGGATGTGCATAGACTTTGAGCTAGACTTCATTTAATAACATTCTCTAAAAATATCCCAAAACTTTCTGGAGATTTTCAAATTTTCCCGAAATAGTTTTAATTTCAATACCCCAAAATGTCCCGCAAAATTCCTGGAGATTTTCAAAACTACGCTCTCTTTATATTTTTGGCATATTTTTCATCCCAACCTTTCAAATAGCTGCTCTGCATAGACTTTTGAAGGAACTTCTTACGAGAACATATACCAAAATTTCCCGTAAATTCCTGGGTTTTTTACCGGTATTTTTATATTTCCACACAATTCTCAATATAAAATAAATCATTCACATCTCAAGTATATTGTAAAAAAACAACTTCCAACCTTTCCAATTTGTCACTTCCTCAATCGAGTTAATAACCTTCAATTATCTGTTACGGAATCACTTCGTATGCACATTCTCGATATCTTCTGTAATTGGAAATGGGAAAAAGCACAACAAACAAACTGGTTCAACTTTCAAGATTTACACTTACACATACGCCAACTAAATATAATCAATATGAAAGTATTTGATAAATATTTTATATTGAGACGTAATTAGGCAGACGATTTCGTTTTTCCCTTTCCATCTCTCGCCACACAAAAAAGGACAGACCTGTTTTTGTTTACCAGCTGGGCATGAACTTGTACGTGAATTGAATTGTATTTATTGCCGTGCACTTCAAGTCCCGTTGTGTGTTTGAAATATCATGTAATCAATACAGACAGAATGTGTTGAAATTACATCGCAGTATCAGTTGTGACAATCTGTGAAATTTACTAGAATTGAATTGCATCGCCGGATAGGGAGAGAGAGAGTAAACTAATCATGTTATTTGCTAATTCAATTAATTAACGGCGTCACAGTGCACACTGACAGATGAGAACAGATGTGTGTCAAAAAGCACAGGGTAACAACAACAAAAAATTAGAATATTTTGAAAATATTTTTATGAAAACAGGTCTACTTTGGCCAAGAGAGTTTTTACGGTTTTTCTATTGTCAGAAGAGCTTTTATAGGTATTCTTTATTCTGAAGGCTTCTAGAAGTCTTCTATAGCCAGGCGACTTTTTATAGGTCTTCCTTAGTATTTAGAAGTCTTTTAAAAGCTTTTAGTGTTATTCTATGTTCAGAGGCTCATTTACAAGTCCAATATATCCAAATCTTCCATAATCAGAAGACCGCTCTTCAAATGCAGAAAAGCTTTTACAAGTCTTCTATATCCAAAGGCCTTTCGCAGGTCTCCTCTAGCCAAAATAGTTTTGATAGACAAAAGATCATTAACAGCTTTTCTAAAGCATAAAAGCTTTGACATGTTTTATATATCCAAAAGGGCTTTTAATCGGAAGACCGCTCTTCAAATGCAGAAAAGCTTTTACAAGTCTTCTATATCCAAAGGCCTTTCGCAGGTCTCCTCTAGCCAAAATAGTTTTGATAGACAAAAGATCATTAACAGCTTTTCTAAAGCATAAAAGCTTTGACATGTTTTATATATCCAAAAGGGCTTTTACAAGTCTCCTATTGCCAAATGACCTATTATAAGTCTGATTTTACAGGTCTTCTTTAGCCAGAAGAGCTTTTACTTGTCTCTTGGAGCTAGGCCACCTTTTACACGTCCTCTTTGAACAAATGAGTTTCTGCAGGTCTTCTACACTCAGAAGACCTTTTGCTGGTATTTTGTATGTAGAACCTCTTTTACAGGTCTTCAAAAGTCATAAAAGCCTGCAGCTCTTCTATAACCAGAAAAGCTTTCTCAGGCATTTTATATCCAAAAGGTCATGATGCCAGAAGAGCTTTGAAGGCCTTCTAAAGCCGGAAGAAATTTTACAGGCCTTTTATATCGAAAAGGGTTGTTACAATTTTTCAAAGGTATTCTTATGCCAGAGGAGCCTTTAGAGGTGTAGTATATACTGAAGACACATAGCAGGTTGTTATAGGTAAAAGACTTTCAAAAGGTCTTCCTAATCCAGAAGACTTTTCACACGCCTTATAAAGTCTGTAAGATTGATAGGTATTTTATATTTGGAAGACCATTCAAAGGTCTTCTATAGGTAAAATATTTTTTACAGTAATTCTATAGTCAAAAGAAAGGTTTCCTAGGTCTTTCATCTCCAGAAGAGCTTTAACAGACCTTTGAATACCCTTAATATCACTAAAAAATCGCATTTATATAGCCAGAAGATCCCTTGCTGGTTTCCTAAAAGCTTTTACATGCCCTCTATAGACAGAGGAGCTTTTACAGACCAGAATACGTATAACTGATCGTTAAAGGCAAATGACTTTCAACATGACTAAGCCAGAAGACCTTATACTGAACTTTTTGGCCTACAGATCTTTCAAAGGTCTTCTAAATGCAGAAGAGCATTGAAAGATCTCTTATATTCAGAAAAAGTCTTCCAAAGCCTACAGTAATTCTATAGCCAAAAAAAGCTTTTCTAGGTCTTCTATGTCCAGAATCATTAAGGGCATTCTCTAACTAATCTCATTTCTTCCCATTATCCCATTGCAGGTCTTCGGAGGGTATTCAATTACCCGAGCTTGGAAATTATGCCACCGGCATTTTCTATTTGGATGAGAAAACTCATCAAGCAGCTGAACAAGAATTCAATGATTTGGCCAAAAGCTTGGGTCTAGATGTGTTGACATGGCGCAGCGTTCCAACCAATCCAAATGCCATTGGCACTGTGGCCCGCAGTTCGGAGCCATTGTCACGTCAAGTGTTTGTTGTACGTCCGGCCGGCATGGATGACGAGACATTCAAGCGTCAAGTCTTTGTGGTGCGCAAACGGGCCAGTCATGAACTGGCCAAGGAGGGCCGTCGTTTCTACATTTGTTCTTTGTCCTCGAAGACCATTGTCTACAAGGGTCTCTTCACGTCTGATCAGCTCTGGAACTACTATACCGATTTGAAAGATCCACAATTTGAAACCTATCTGGCATTGGTACATACACGTTTCTCCACCAATACGTTCCCCTCGTGGGAGCGGGCCCATCCGTTGCGTGTCCTGGCTCACAATGGTGAGATTAACACATTGCGTGGCAATGTCAATTTGATGAAGGCCCGCGAGGGCGTCATGCAGAGTGAGGTGTTTGGCGAGGATTTGAAAAAATTGTATCCCGTCGTTGAACCCAATCTCTCGGATTCCGGTTCATTTGATTGTGTACTGGAATTTTTGACGGCGGCCAGTGATCGTACGTTGCCCGAGTCGGTGATGACCATGGTACCCGAGGCGTGGCAAAACGACAAGACAATGCCGCAGGAGAAACGTGATTTCTACCAGTGGGCTTCATGCGTCATGGAACCCTGGGATGGTCCAGCCCTAATTTCCTTCACCGATGGTCGCTATATTGGTGCAGTGCTCGATCGTAATGGCCTGCGGCCATCGCGTTTCTACATAACCAAAGAGAATATTTTGGTAATGGCTTCCGAGGTGGGTGTCTATGATGTGGATCCATCACAGGTTACATTGAAGTCACGTTTGAAGCCTGGCCGTATGTTGTTGGTCGACACCCAGGAGAAGAAATTCATTCAAGATATTGAATTGAAAACGTACATTGCAAAGTCTCGCCCCCATTCGGAATGGTTGCAGCAAAAGGTGAGTGTGTGATAGTAATACTCTAAAGTGACCTACAAAAAATACAGACCTACCGGGCATCACTATAACACCACAACAATTAATACAAATAATTATCCCAAATTCAAAAAAAAAAAACTAAATTTTTAAAAATATTTTCTTAATATTCCCAAATTTTTCTTATGCCTCAAATTAATACAATTCAAATTTTTTGGAATTTAACAGATGGTGAGTTAAGGTTTTCAAAATTTCCTCCTTCTTTTTTTGTTTTTGCTTTCTCCAAGTATATTTTGAAATTGATTTAACAAAGCCTATTTGTTTGCCCCAAAGCTTTGCCTTAAAAGAGTTTGAGCTTTTGTTGAGCTTATTTAATATTGTTGAAAATTCGTTTCTAAAATTATCTATTTTTCAATACTAGATTACCTTGGATGAAATTCGCAATGCCAATGTTTTCAATACGGACAATTCGAATGGAGCTCTTCAAGCTGTTGTTGATCCCTCACAGCAGGGTATGTTGGATCCCAGACTCTCCCTGTATGGTTATACAAATGAAACGGTCAACATGCTTTTAGTGCCAATGTTTAAAAACAGGTAAGAATTTTTAGATTGTTGTTGGAAGTTTCCGAATATTCAATTTTTGTTTGTAATTACAGGAAGGAAGCCTTAGGCTCCATGGGCAATGATGCCCCTTTGGCTTGCCTCTCAACATTCCAACCCCTACCGTATGAGTATTTTAAGCAGTTATTCGCCCAAGTTACCAATCCCCCCATCGATCCATTCCGTGAGAAAGTCGTTATGTCTATGCAATGTCCCATTGGACCCGAGGCCAATATCTTGAAACCATCGGCCGAACAGGTCCATCGCATTTGGTTGAATAACCCCATACTAAGCATTCCAGACACCAATCTCTTGAAGCGCAACACTCATCGCGGCTGGAAGACCAAAGTTTTGGACATGACATTCCCCTATCAAGATGGTGTCCAGGGCTACATTGATTGCATCGATCGCATTTGTCGTGAAGGTGCCAATGCCGCCTCGTCCGGCTATCAATTGTTGTTGTTATCCGATCGTAATGCTGGCCAAGAGGGTAAAGCTCCCATCTCCGCTCTACTGGCCTTGGGTGCCCTTCATCATCACTTGATCGAAACTTACCTGCGCATGAAGGTGGGTATTATTGTTGAAACCGCTGAAGCTCGTGAAGTCCATCACATTTGTGTACTTTTGGGTTATGGTGCTGATGCCATTTGCCCCTATTTAGCCTTCGAATTGGCTCAAGCTTTACGCGATGATGGTGTGATTAGTCCCGATGTTAGTGACAAGCAAATCTACTCAGCCTATGCCCAGGCCATAGATACCGGCATTGCCAAAGTTATGGCCAAAATGGGCATCAGTACTCTGCAATCGTACAAGAGTGCCCAGATATTTGAAGCCGTGGGCATGGGCCCTGATCTCATCAATAAATGTTTCCGTGGTACTCCCTCGCGTATTGGTGGTGTCTCTCTGGAAATGTTGGCCCGTGAGGGTTTGGAACGTTTCCAAATGACCTATTGTAAGGTGTCAATGGATACGCGAATTCTACGTAATCCTGGTCAATACCATTGGCGCCATGGCGGTGAGGCTCACATTAATGAACCGGCATCGATCGCTAGCCTCCAAGAGGCGGCCATTTCGAAGAATACCAACGCATTTGAAGCTTTTAAGGCCACCACCATGGAGAGTGTGAGACGTTGTACATTGCGAGGACAGTTGGAGTTTGCTAATGATCGTCAAAAGATTGACATTTCCGAGGTAGAGCCGGCCAGTGAAATTGTCAAGAGGTATGGAAGAATGAAATTAAAGATCTTAAGGAGACGATTGTGAATTTTGGTATTTCTTTTTTTTTTTGCTAGATTTGCAACTGGTGCCATGAGTTTTGGTAGTATTTCGCTGGAGGCCCATCAAACCTTGGCCATTACCATGAATCGTATTGGTGGCAAGAGTAATACTGGTGAAGGTGGTGAAGACGCCGATCGTTATTTGAGTAAGTATGGAGAAGAATAACAATTCAACTTTGATGAATAAAGATTTTTCCAAAAAACGTAATTTATATATGCTGAATAAGAAATAGTTTAGGAAAGCTTCATAATCATTTGTTAAGAAAAAAATCTTCGGCTTTGAAAGATTTTAATGGCTGATTAAAAAATAAGTTTTGGCCCAAAATACTTCTAAATTCATTATATTGACTCTGTAAAGCAATAAAAAAGATTTGTGTTCAATCAACGGTCCTGAAAGATTTTCAAAATAGGCTTTTTAAATTGTACATTTTGGATGTAAATAATTTTTTTGA